CCACTCCACAATGAACCTAAGGACCACCATCAGTGAGCGGTTGGACAGGATTACTTTGTCTGTTGCATGGATGCTTGTGTGTTTTAGGGGGAGGGGAATTTTGGTGCGTGGGGGTGTGTTTGGGGATTGTCGTGTGTGTGTGTGTGTGTGCATGTTGAGTCTAGTTTCTGAGTGTTATATGAATTTCATTGTATATGTATACTGTGTATATATGTACAATGACAATAAAGATTATTATTATTATTATTACTATTGGTTAATCTTTAGTGAGATTCACAGCCTTTGGGGCTGGTTGGTAGATGATGATGATGATGGTTACTACTATTATTATTATTATTATTATTATTATTTATCATCATCATTATTATTGGCTAATCTCTAGTGAGATTCACAGCCTTTGGGGCTGGTTGGTAGATGATGATGTTGATGATGACGATGATATTATTATTATTATTATTATTATTATTATTATTATTATTATTTATCATCATCATTATTATTAGTTAATCTTTAGTGAGATTCACAGCCTTTGGGGCTGGTTGGTAGATGATGATGATGGTTATTATTATTATTATTATTATTATTATTATTATTATTATTACTATTATTTATCATCATCATTATTATTATTGGCTAATCTTTAGTGGATGTCGGACATCTCACCTCATACTTAGAATTAGAAAATAATTGTCTAGTTTCTCTCAAGTTTGCTAGGAGAGATGGCAAAGTACTTGCAAGCTGTGATGGTCACACCCCACTTGGCTTCCTCCAAAGCATACTCTCTTAGGTCTTCAAAACATCACCAAGGAGAACCACCGTAGATTTGGCTACCCTTCTCAGCCAAGGCCCGGATCTCGTCTGGAATCCAAAATGGCTTTCTTCTTTCTAAGCTGTGTGGTTTAGGATTGACCACGGGGTCAACCTGACCACTTGACCACGGGGTCTTTATGGTCTCGTTTTTCCAGCCTCAGTCAAACAGGATCCTGCCATCAGGGCAAGGGAGTAGTAGAAGTTATGCGTGGTCGGTTCCCCTCCTCCTCCTCCTCCTGGGAAGTTCAGTGATAAGTCTCTGTGGCACTGATGATGTTACCTAGTTTGGTAATGAGACGTCTGCAAGGACATCATCAAGATCAGAGAGCACTAAGGACACCACCATCATCGTTCTCCTCCTCCTCCTCCTCCTCCTCCTCTTCCGTACAAATCCCACTCTCTTCTACCTCTGAAGATGTTACCTAGTTGCGTCAAAAAGCACCTGTAAGAAAACAGCCAACCTCGGAAAGCACCAAGGGCCCCACACTTCTCTTCCTTGTCCATTTGGCAAACCCCACTCCCTTGTAACACTGATGGTGTAGCCTAATTTGGTAATGAAATGTCTGCAGGAATGCCACCAAGCTCAGAGTGCACCAAGGACACCCCAGACACACACGGTTCAACGCAGAGCTACAAATATCCTTTTCTATCGATAAATCTCTTTCCTGAATCCAAGGTGCCTGCCTATTTGTACCAAAAACAAGAGCCAGCCGAAGAATGGAAATGTCAAAAAAAAAATCAATGGAAAGAGAAACACTCTGAATGCGAACAAATGTTGGGTTAGGCGACTGTAGCCATGGCAATCTCGGAAAACAGAGCAATATCGGTATCTTGAGGAAAAAGAGTAATTAAGACTTAACTGGCAGGTATGGCTGGGGCAGCAACGTACAGTCAATTTCCTTTACAATTAAATCCTTCGTAAAATATTACACTTCGTTCAAATTGCAGAGGTCTTGGGAGCGAGGCTGATATGCTTACTTGCAAAGGTTTGGTCAAACGCAGCGAGAGGGGCATGATTGTGCATGTGTGTATATGTGTGTGTGTGAGAGAAACAGAGAGAAGCACATTTGGACCCACAAGACTGCAGAGAAAATACTACCAACTCATAAAATATTTCTACGGTCGTCTTAGAGCTGCCAACAGAAAGGTAGTGGGGAAGAGTTTTGAAAGCACAGTGTGGCAGCTTGGAAATCGAAAGTGCATTCCATACATAGTTTTTCAGAGATAGTAACTAGGTGACTGAAGTATCTGCTATGCAAAAATCTTAACTGGAAAGCATGATTGATGACTCTTGGCTATGGATGTGTCCCATTGGAGAATACGAATTATGATACACCCAGGGGGTGGAAGGAAAACCAGGGTCAAGGGTGACAAGGAATGATGTGTCACTGTGATGACCCAGGTGGGATACAAAAGCAACAAAGTCCCAAAAACAGGTGAAGTCCCTTTAATTCCTTCAACTTGGCTTCAGAGCTCCAAATATCCTCGACTGGAGACAAAAAAAACTCCCCCACAAACAGTTACGAAAAGGAAGAAATTCCCTCCAAACTCAAAATACATATAAATTATAAACAGAAAAAACAACAACACAAACTGCACTGAAGCAATTCATGAGACCAGGCAGGATAAGGGCTTGAAGACGTCCACAGATATCGAAATACACACACTGGGAAGGACGCCAGAACTCAGATAAGAACTGAAAGACTAGAATTATTTCACGCTTTGCTTCCAGCACTGGGCCATGCGCAGTTTGTCCTTTTAAACAGTCCTCCCAGCTGCAGCCCATGAAGGGGATCAGGGCCCCTTCCTCCCCCATAGACACGCCATTCATTTTTCTCCCTGCGTGCCCTAGGATGAAGAGGGGATGGACCTGGGTCTTCCTCTGAATGCCCAGCTGGCCTCTGCCCTTCCCCAGCCTCCTCCACAACCGCCGGAGCCACAACTCCACTCCCTGTCAGCTGTTCCTCCTCTCTCTGAGTCAGACTCCAGCAGGGGCATGACAGTCACAGAGTTGGCTGCACCCAGGCAGTGCCGACATGTTAACTCCCAATAAATCCTTTTGAAGTTTTGGAAGTTTGGCTCGAGACTCAGGATTTAATTGGGGGCAACTGCCGGAATCCTGACAAATACACTGGATTAGCTTTGATTGATAGTCCTCAACGTACGACCACCCAAGCTTTTCGATCCTAAGTGAAACAATTGCTAAGTTAATTCCGCCCCGTGTTATGGCCTCCCTTGCCACGGTTGTTAAGTGAATCGCTGCCATTGTTAAGTGAGTAATGCGGTTGTTAAGTGAATCTGGCTTCCCCATTGACTTTGCTTGTCGGAAGGTCGCAAAAGGAGATCAGGTGAGTTCGGGACACGGTAACTGTCATAAGTACATGCCAGTTGGCAAGCCTCTGAATTTTGGTCACGTGAGTAAGGGGATGTTGCAATGGTCATAAGTTTAAAAAATGGTCATAACTCCCTTTTTTCAGCGCTGACGTTAAGTTGAGGACAACCTGTTTTAACTGCTGCGTATTAAATTAAGGAATATGCTTCCGTGTCCAGAATACCTTCGTAACTTAAAATTAAATCTGATGAGGAATTGAATTCTAACTGGGAAGCATGCCTGGACTATAATTTGACGCCCAGCGTTGCACCCTCCAAAATTTTGATTTTTCTATGGATGGAATCTATAATTTAACTTCATGGGATATTCCACTTCCACTACCTTGGCAACACTGATTCATTAATTATACCTCTTAATTTTGAACGGAGCTGACCACTGTTCGTAATAACATATTCTTTAGCCTAATAGCAGTTTCTAAAAATTTAAAGTGAGCATAATATGTTCTGCTACTTGCAAGTAATTAACAATATGCTGGAAAAACCATAATCTACGTGACGCTCCAGATCTCTCGTTTGCTTATTCGTAGTGTTATTGTTTGTATTTGACTCTTTTGTTCTTTTCACACCCCTTAATCTTTGTGTTTGTGCTACTTAACATTTTTTTTTTCAAATTTAAAAACAAAGCGTAGACAAACCAAAACAGAAAAACAAAGGCTAGAAATTACAGCAAATGCTTAACACACCTGCTTCTGCACTGAGTTATATGGAAATGAGCTGCCTCTTTTTTTCAAGGAACTTGAAGTTATATATCCGTGATGGCGAACCTGTGGCACGCAGAGCCATTTGTGCCGGCATGCGAGCTGCAGGCAAACAAACCTCACTGCACATGTGTGCGCTTCACAGCTGATTTTTAGCTGGTTTGAGGCCTTTTTTGGCCTCTCAGAGGCTTGAGGAAGGCTTCTGCAGGCCGAAAACTAGGCCCGTTTCATCACTGTTTTTCCGGAAATACCAGAAGTGACGAAACAGGCCTAGTTTTCGGCCTGCAAAGCCTGCAGAAGCCTCCCTCAAGCCTCTGGGAGGCCCATAAAGGCCTCCAACTGACCAAAAATCAGCTGTGAGGTGCAGTGCAGGTAAGGGGGTGGCGGAGGAGGGTGGGTGGGGATTGCACACGCATGTGTAGTGAGTGTGGCACGCATTGCCTTCTGGGTGCTGGCACGCGAGCGCGAACGTGCAAGCACACCCACAATTTTTGGCACAGGAACCCCAAAAAGAGTAGCCACCACTGTTATACATGGACAAAGTAGTCCTTGCCTTACGACTGTAACGGAGCCTGCCCATTGCAGTTCATCAGTTGTGATAGTCATAAAATGGGACATCCACATGACCGATTTCATGGGAGGATTGTGTTGTTTTTTTTCTGGCGATGGTCATTATGTGAATCTCTGGTTGTTAACTGAAACATGCAATCGTTATGTAAATCCACCCTCCCCCACTGATAGTCAGAACCCATCTGGGACAGGACACAAACTGCCAGTTTCGCTGTCGTGACCCTGGGGACGATGAAACGGTTCTGAGTGCGAGGAAAAGTCATAAGTCACTTTTCGGGCGTGCTGTTGTAACTTGGAGCAGTTGCGAAAACTAATGGTTGCAACTCAAGGACTATCAATGGTGCAAGTGCCAGGAACGAGGAGCAGAGCGGTGCCCACCTGCATACCAATCCTGGACATTAGTTTTTTTTTACCCAAAGCAAATTTGTTGCTTCTCTTTAAGTGGGGGAGGGAGAAGGGGGAACCTAGAAGCTGAGATTAAAAACCACACAGATCATTGCAGAAAGCGGTAATTGTGTCATCCTGACGCACCTCTCTCCGTCGCGATGCCCAGCAGCTTTGCTTAATCTTCCAAACCACAGCAGCCACCAGAAGCAGAGACAAGAAGCAGCTGAAAAGGAAGGAAGGGAAGAGAAATAAATTCTGTGAGCTGTCCTTGCCTGGCTTCAATCTTAGATACATCAAAACTGACCCCTTCCTGCCAAAAAAAAATTGCATTGTAGCTTTCATGCCTAAGGCGGGACTAGAACTCACCGTCTCCTGGTGATTGGCCCAAAGTCACCCAGCTGGCTTTCATGCCTAAGGTGAGACTAGAATTCACTCTCTCCTGGTTATTGGCCCAAAGTCACCCAGCTGGCTTTCATGCCTAAAGCGGGACTAGAACTCACCATCTCCTGGTGATTGGCCCAAAGTCACCCAGCTGGCTTTCATGTCTAAGGCGGGACTAGAACTCAGTTTCCCATTTTGTAACCTGTTGCCTTAACCATTAGACCAAACGGGCTCTTTGACTGCAACTGACCTCATTGGGGAAACAGAACTAAATATGTGAAAATACACACACACACACACACACACACACACACACACACACACACACAGTGGAGGAGGGACTAAAATGATGAGGATTTCTCCTGCTTCCTTTTTAAAAAACAAAAACAAAACCTCAGGTAATGTCTTCTTTGGAACACCTATGAAACTAGAAAATGAAACTAGAAGATGAACAGTGCCTATATTATTGATTTATTCACCGCCGGAGATTTATCCGGCTGCTCATTTCCCAAGACGCAGAGCAGATTCTAGGCAAATGTTATCATTAATTGTCATTTAGGAAAAAATAAGAAGGAAACAAGCAAGATGTCTCTGATCCCCCATTTTTCAGACGGAAACATGTTGCGAGGACCGTGAGAGGCTGGAAACCGGCCGACCCACAAACCTGGTTTGGATCTGAGCTCTTTATTTAAGGCTTTTTATCAGAAGAACCACAGTGGGCGCTGATTTTACAAAAGCGCTCTTATCATTTTTCTCCAAGAAAGGAAGGAAGGCTCTTAATAGTTTTTGTAACCAATATTCCCCCCGACTTCCAAATCTTATGGCCATTCTTTTGGATCCAACTGCCTACAACAGGAGTCCCCAAACTTGGCCACTTTAAGACTGGTGGACTTCAACTCCCAGCAAAGCTGGCTGAGGAATTCTGGGAGTTGAAATCCACAAAGTGGCCAAGTTTGGGGACCTCTGACCTACAAGGATGGACAACCAACAACTGGAAAACTCCACTGGTTCCCATCTCAAAGCCATTCCAGAGAGGACCCCCCGAACAACCTTGAGGAGGCAACGGCTACGGATCCATCCGAGAGGAAAATCACATTATATGCTCGGGTGTCGTTTCATCGCTGAGCCAAGGAAAAGGTAAGTTTATTAATAAGGAAAGGGCATAAGCCTACTGATTCAGGATCCTGAAACTTAGCTTCCTTAAACATATTACTACGTAGTTCTATTGTTCCCTTTCAAGACTTCACACCTATCAAAATCTATCTATCTATCCATCAATCCATCCATCTTGGCCTGTTCGGGTTTTCTCCCATGTAAGATTAAGAGCACGTTGCCAAGATGGTCTCAATCTTACACGGGAAAAGACCCGAACACGCCAAGACCTGCGTATATATATATATATATATATCTGTGCGTCCCTATATGCCAATGCAACTTCAGAGGCATTTAAAAAATTTTCACGTGGTCACCTTGGGAAAATTAATTGCCCACCCCATGATATAATAAGAATAAAAATAATTTGGTGTATCGCTACTGTACCTGAAAAACGTGACAAAGAACTGCACCAGATCCATAAAGTTACTGTGCTGTGAAAATGCAATCTGTAAAAAAAGAAAAACCGACATTAACGATTGCGATTGCAATTATAATTCTGGCTGATGCCAACCCTTAAATCTTTGCTCAGAGATTTTAATAATCAACGGTTTTGCATTAAGTCCCAAACAAGCTTATAGCACATAAACCAGCCTACTTCCTCCAAATTGTCACAGAATAGCAGCACTCTAGACACCTATGGAAATAAATGGAAATACGCTCTTAAACACGACGGTTCTGAAGAAATCTGGCCCCTAATAACATAACATAAATATAACATAATCACAACACAACACAACATAAAACACAACATTAATATTAACATAAACATAACTTTCAATGAATAATATACTTTATCCTCACCCTGCTGATCGTTTTATACATAATCACGGCAGCAAAAATGCCTAATACAGGTAGTCTTTGACTTACAACTGTCCATTTAGTGACGGTTCAAAGTTACAACGGCACTGAAAAAAAGGACCTTTTTTCACACTTACGACCGTGGCAGCCTCCTCCTGGTCACCTGATCAAAATTCAGCCACTTGGCAACTGACTCCTATTTATGATGGATCCAGTCACAACTGAGTCAAGAGGGAAGCCAGATGTTTTAACGGTCGTAAGTATAAAAAAACGATCCCAAGTTTCTTTCTTCGGCGTCACGGTACATTCAAACGGTCACTAAATGAACATGTTGTAAGTTGAGGCCCACCCTGCGATCTTCAAGTGTACCTCCATTATTTCCCATTATTCAAGAGCGGGCCGTTGTTGTTCTAAAACCATATTTCGCTACTCCACATTTCATTCCTCTATTGTCAAGACCGATTAATCCCCACAGCAACTAAAAAGACATAAATATCATCCACACAGGTCATTATTTTAAACACACATGCGCACACACACACACACACAGAGATGAAAATACAATCAATGGAAGACAAGCATTGTTTAAAAGAGGCGCAAACCGAAAAGAAGGATGAAAGGGAAACGTAAACATGTCACGGAGATAAAAACCTTAAGGACAGCAGCAGAAATAAGAGAGGATTAAAAGGTCCTTGGGAATTAAAAAAAAAAAAGGAAGAAAGAAAGAAAGAAAGGCTCGGCTGCCAATCTTGTTGCTTTGGGTAAACTCCGCTCTCCCTGCAGGACTAGGGCTTTATTTATTTAAAATACTTTTAGATCGTGCGCCGACAGTTGGATCTCGTAGCAAAAACGAGAGAGGAAAAAAACCAAGCAGAATTAGCTGTATGTATGTATGTATGTGCTGTAAACACACGTGTTTTTTTTTTTTTAAAAAAGTAGCACTAACAGCAAGGCCAGCTGGGATCAAAGAGAGGATTGCACGGTCCCTGGGAATGGTCCACCAGCCATCTTGGCATCGGAAGGCAGCCAGAGTGCCGTGGACGATGGAGCCTGCCTTCCTCTCTTGCGGGCTTTTGCCATCTCCTTGCAAGAGGAGGCCAGGGTGAGACCCTCTTTGGTGTCTACTAACGGAGCCAACAGGGCAACCAAGAGGAATGCCCATCTGCCAGTGTTAGGGAGGCCAAAATGGATTTCTCAGGCTCTCTGTGAGATGTTTCCAACAAAATGAAGATCTCCAACCTTGTTCCGTTTCCAGCTGATGTCCTTTTTCATACATACCATATATCCTCTAATCGTCTCTCTCACAACTCATCTACCTATCCAACTATCACCTTTCTCTCTGTCTGTCCATCATCTATCTCCATTGACTGACTGTCTACCCCTTCCTTCCTCTTTATACCTATGCATCTGCCCATTCATTTATCCACCAAATAATCCCCATCCATATCTATCTATCTATCTACCTACCTACCTATCATCTACCTACTCTCTCCCATCCATCCATCTCTCTCTCTCTCTCTCTCT